ATTGCAAAGATTTATATTTTCTTAGAACGAAAGTCTTAACTGCGTTCTTCGTACCGTTGAAGTTACTTGAAACAGAAGTGCGTACATATAAAGGGTGTCGTCATAGCAACACGTTACGGACTTGCGCCCTAAAGTAGTATCACGTTGCCAAAGGTTCTTAAGCTTTGCGTTTTACTACTGTGTGGTATCGTTGTGAGAATGCCGGTCTCGTGTTCAATGAATAGGTCATCCGAAACCAACGAGGCATAGGACTATGCTTCAACGTAACACCTGTGTATCTCGCAAGTGCACCAGTAATTGCTTGATACAACTATGTTACACACGAAATCTGTCCGGAACTTCTATCGTAGCCGCATAAATATTTAAACAAGAAGTAAAAGCCAATCCATTTAGAGTTTGCGTGAATATACGAATAATTTAAAACATTCTATTTAAAATACTTCTAGATTTGTTTCTGTTTAATTTTATATATATATATATATATATACCAGTATTTTATCAGAATTTAAAATTAAAATCTTGCTATCTATTTTAATTAATTTTTGCTTACCATATATAATTAATTGAAGATGGTCTATTTATTAAAACTTTTGGAACCAAAACTATATTTCGCGTGTATAGATTTTGCACATTTTATTTACAATTATAAACTCGCGATGATTTGTGTAACATAAAGAGTAATTATTTTTTTGATCGACAAAATTTGGAGAAACAATCCGAGAAACGCATTTACATAGATATAATTGAATCATTGATACTACATATTGCATGATTTTGTCAGCTTCCTATTTGGACTTCGTCAGTTTCTTCGCGATTAAAGGTAGACAATTGTTGATGTGATATTATGATATCTAAAGAACACATAATTATAAAATATGCAGTAATATGTATATTTTTATTAGTAGGAAAAAATTATCATAAGAATGCCTTCGCGATTGAAGGCAAAAAGTTTTATAAATTTCTTATATAATCAACGAAATACCGTATCATATTATCGAATATGAAACTGTAATCAGGAATTCTTGTTACTTTAAAAAAGAAATCACTGAAAATCGCACAATTTTGCTGCTCGATCGCAGTGAAATCCGTATAAGAACTGATTAGCTCAAGTAGCTTACATTCATGAAGTTATAAATATTTGTTTATACACATCCGTAATTAGTGATTATTTTATTCACAATTATTTAATCATAAAATATAATTATGCAGTTTTGATTGGCAATGAATTTTTCTCATAAAATAAATAGTGAATTTAAACTGAAAATAATAAACAAAAATAAAGACAAAGAGGAAATTAAAATGTTTGGTTGCATTTTTTATTAACTGTATATTAAGGACAAAAAGATATCTCACTTAGTTCCAACACAAAATGTGCTTAAGGGTTAACATTCTTTCTATTGCAAAGATTAAGGAGATTCTTCCTATTGCAAAGATTTATATTTTCTTAGAACGAAAGTCTTAACTGCGTTCTTCGTACCGTTGAAGTTACTTGAAACAGAAGTGCGTACATATAAAGGGTGTCGTCATAGCAACACGTTACGGACTTGCGCCCTAAAGTAGTATCACGTTGCCAAAGGTTCTTAAGCTTTGCGTTTTACTACTGTGTGGTATCGTTGTGAGAATGCCGGTCTCGTGTTCAATGAATAGGTCATCCGAAACCAACGAGGCATAGGACTATGCTTCAACGTAACACCTGTGTATCTCGCAAGTGCACCAGTAATTGCTTGATACAACTATGTTACACACGAAATCTGTCCGGAACTTCTATCGTAGCCGCATAAATATTTAAACAAGAAGTAAAAGCCAATCCATTTAGAGTTTGCGTGAATATACGAATAATTTAAAACATTCTATTTAAAATACTTCTAGATTTGTTTCTGTTTAATTTTATATATATATATATATATATATACCAGTATTTTATCAGAATTTAAAATTAAAATCTTGCTATCTATTTTAATTAATTTTTGCTTACCATATATAATTAATTGAAGATGGTCTATTTATTAAAACTTTTGGAACCAAAACTATATTTCGCGTGTATAGATTTTGCACATTTTATTTACAATTATAAACTCGCGATGATTTGTGTAACATAAAGAGTAATTATTTTTTTGATCGACAAAATTTGGAGAAACAATCCGAGAAACGCATTTACATAGATATAATTGAATCATTGATACTACATATTGCATGATTTTGTCAGCTTCCTATTTGGACTTCGTCAGTTTCTTCGCGATTAAAGGTAGACAATTGTTGATGTGATATTATGATATCTAAAGAACACATAATTATAAAATATGCAGTAATATGTATATTTTTATTAGTAGGAAAAAATTATCATAAGAATGCCTTCGCGATTGAAGGCAAAAAGTTTTATAAATTTCTTATATAATCAACGAAATACCGTATCATATTATCGAATATGAAACTGTAATCAGGAATTCTTGTTACTTTAAAAAAGAAATCACTGAAAATCGCACAATTTTGCTGCTCGATCGCAGTGAAATCCGTATAAGAACTGATTAGCTCAAGTAGCTTACATTCATGAAGAAAGAATCGAAGTCGAGCACTTTTCTGTGATCTGCACGATAAATATTGGATCTGATCAGCTCAGAAAATGCAAGTCGAGAGTGAAGAAAATCAAAGGCGGGATGTAGCTTTGCTATCCTTTCGCAATACGAATTCTGTAACGCGATAGCGTCGTGATGTCTTTTGCTCCGATTTCCGATAGCTAAACTTAACGGACAGGTTATATCGAATATAGAACACGAAAAGCACTACGGTGGCCTCACCGAGAATAGTACAATAGCAAACTGCTATTTTCCTTCTCACTCATATTAAATTTATTTTGAACAAAAATAATTAACCTGCGTGAAGTTAGCACCCCATTTCTGAAATTTTAAAATTCTAAAGGTTGTTCCAGGTTGTTCTACACTTAATTATTATTTCTGTAACTTAACGTAATTATACGATATTGACTAAAAGCGTGGAAAGTTCATTTCGAATTGTTACAAATAAAATGTCATAAATCAAATGTTACAGTGAGATTTTGTGAATTAATTTATAATAAATAATAAAATGTTGTTATTCAGAACAATTTTAAATTTGCAGCTTTTATACTTATATGTTAATCTATATACCTTGATATACTACAATTTATTACACGTATTCCACATGCTATTACTGGTTAAAAGTATAATCATTTAGCGTAATTTGCATAATATAGATAATATATATAGTTTGTTTTGCAGACAAGTTTACGCACTTTATTTTTTCTCTTTCTCTTTTTATTTTTTTAAATCAGCTTAGCTTAATTAGGGAGAAAGGCTCTATTTCTGGTTTATTCTCTGATATCATCAATTTTACTTAGTATAAAAAGTGGCGAATGGGACATTCTGTATATGCTAACTTTCAAGCCATACAATTTTTCAAGCCTTACAGAGACAAAATGGTAGGAGAAAATTAAAGGACATTGGGGAGGAGAAAAATTAGAGGGATAAAACATACACTTTAACATCTCATCATACACTTTTAACATTTTATTTTTTACTTGAAAGTTTTGCAAATTACAAAACCATATTTCTATTCTGATTTGTAATTGATTACTAAGATCAGCCTACGATATATTTTATAAATATAAAATATTTTTGAAATAAAGAATAAAACATTTATATGTAAGCTATTTCTCTTATTACTTTATAAACGCTTAACGTAAAATAATTATTTAATTGTGTTAAATTTCTTATTAGAAATAAGTATTTCAAATATGTATTTCTCTTTAGAAATTTCAACTAATCAATTAAAATAATTATTAATTTTATTAAATAATAAAATATATATTTATAATAAATAATCTTATTTTTAAACGAAACTATCTAAACGATTATTTTTAATAGTATATGCATTTGAAATATGCTCATTAGTTCGACTCGTCTATAACGATATCATTATCCTTTCGAGCAATTTGCGCAATCAAGGAGCGTAAGCAGTCTTAACGGCGCGTATCTACATGAAAGAGGAATGTCACTGGCAAACGGTGGGCCATGGAGGATGCGCGATAGCATTGCGATAATAATCGACGCTGCAAAATATAAGACCGCGTAACGATCCGGTTTAGTATGGCAGACGGGTCGGCGCACATCAGCGCCTTCCACACTTTGCTCACCCGTATCACGTCGTCTTTAGCCGTCGTAAAGCATACCGTGATGCGTCATTCCGCGAGATGAGAAGTTGGGTTGAATATACACGCACATATATATGCGCGCGTGCGAAAAAGAGAGAGAAATAGCAGAAACACTCGAAATATGACGAGATCGTTGGTATTGCACGCGATGCGAAAGACGATTCACATTTCCGCGCGATTCTACAATCGTCATTTAAAATACATTATTTTTACCTTTGCAATAATGGTCTCTGTGAAAAGCTTTGAACCAGATATATATTTTTACGGAGTCGCCGTATTTTTTTTTTCTTTTTCAGTATGAAAAAAACGACAGATTTCCGATTGCATCATTTGATGAAATTCGCGATGGTTAAGGAGAAAAGACATTGCAATTTATCGGAAATTTTATTGTAGAAGAGCTCACATCTATTTCTCAAAAGCTCTGTATTTATATGATGTAATTATTTCGACGTTGCGTCGTTAGTAAACTATGTTTGTCGAGCGATGGGATATTACAGAAGCATTACGATCATTCATTACGAACATCTGTACTACTGAAACTGTGAATTGTTACGTCCACGTTTGTTAATTGCTATGCAAAATCCTGCGCACAATTCTATTGGCAATCAAAATATTGGTACGACTGCGGCGGTTCTAATCCGCGCCTGTAATTCGAGCCTGAAGTAGTCATTAAACAACTAATGAACATTAGAAAAGCGAATATAATGAACATCCACAAATTATGTGTATGAACAATCGTAGACAGCACACAATGATAATAGAAATTATGCATTATTATGTATCGGTGTATATATGTATATATAAAAAATTATTTCTCGCAATATAATAGGCGTTGATATTTATTTAAGTACATATATATGGATACAATTTAGCCGGAAACATATACATAATGTTATGACTATGTGTAACACCTAATGCATCAAGCCATTATACATTTGCAAATAATGCATTGCTTTTAACGCATATATCGCTCGAAAAGTAATTGAATTTAAACAAATTTCAGTCCTCGCTCAATATTACGACTCAGAGATCACGCAATCTAATTTTCCAAAAATTTATTTCAAAATTCTTATCCACCGTTTCATGCTGCTATATTTTTTCAAAATTTGTGAAATAAATCCTTGTGGCTCTCATGATATAAATTCGTGAAGCATTCGATTTTAGCGATGCATCAGCAAATAAATTAATTTTGGATAGAAAATTTCTTAAAATTTTGAAATAAATCTACTTATCAAAAATACATCTACGGAAAAATTTAAAAATACAGGTAAGATTACCATTTCATGATAAATACGTCGAATATTTACATTTGGAAATGATACAATAAATATACATATATCTAAAGAGTTAAATAAATTTTTATACTAGGCGAAATTTTATATTCTTAGAAAAATGTGATAGAAATCTGAAATCGGGTTTTTTTTTGTACAGATAAACGATTGTATAATAATATTTCAATAATTGTAATGAGCGATACAAAACATTCTTCTCGTATATCATACGCATATAATTGAGAATTAAAGAGATTCGATCAAAATTTGCGATAAACTTAAATTAACAGAAAAATCTTACAACATTGAAAAAAGAAAGCGACCATTTAATTTTCGTTTACAGAAACAATACTGTTTTGGCTCAGATCTTTTGATTTTCCCACGGTCATATATATCACTATACATCGTATAAAACGTAATGTATATACGTATATAGAAATATAATATTCATATAATACGCTTCATTCTTTGTACAAGTTCTAGCAGCGATTCGTCGAGCCATAATCGAGTCATCTGTGTGATCGACGAACACATGCGGTCATCCTGCGTTCGGCAATAACGCAGATATTGCCATGCAAGAATAATCGCGGAAATTTATGCTTGCTCTTCCCCTCCCGAATGTGTTTATGTGTATGTCACATTGAATACATTTACAGATACAGTTAGATAGAGATACGTTATCATGCGCTGAACAAATGTTTGTGACGTTAAACACATATACAGTCGCAGTGTTGTGTTTTCTCGATCGTAATGAAAAATCGATCGGTGAAAAATTATTTTGCATGTCGCGTGTCATTGGCTAATTTGTCGATTAATAATTAAATGATCGAGACTCTTGCGTGCGTACAAATTTTTTGCTTCAATATTATCATTCGCAAACAGAATCATCGTTTTAAACAATTGTAATATATGTGTATATGACTGTGATGATATATATAAATCATTAAATAAAATTACGAATTAATCATGCCGTTATATACGCACATTGTTCAACGCAGATCCAACTGGCTTATAATATCGCTCGTTTTTTAGTTTATTATTGGAAGTACTTCGCGTCGCAATGGTATGGTACTAAAATAGAAACTAATATCCATAGCCATATCCCTTAGTATTGTACAACGTCAACAATTAGTAACATTTCGACGAATAGCGCTCGCGATTACTCTATATGGATTAAATAAGAGAACATATTCTTAATGAATTAGGCCGGTTGAAAAAGCATATCGCTTCGTATCGTACGTTATTGCTTTTATATTTCGAGCAAATGAGAAATCTCTCGTATAAAAATATTTTTACGTGAGAAAATAAAGATTTGAAATAATAGAAATTAAAAGAAAGTGATAATTATAATATTAGCGGTAGTAATAAGATAAATCAATTTTATATTTTCCATATTTTTTTTTCCAAGTAAAATGCGCCATATTCTCTGGCGCATTTGAATTGATCGAACAAATTAAAATCCTATCTGGAATATAGAAGATTAAATTGGATAACATTGTTCATCGAATAAAGTCTCGATTTTTTTCCAATAATTATATATGTATATATATGTAACATACATATCCTTCTTTTAAATTTAACGTTAACTTTTCCTAAAATACTGTCAAACGTGTCTCAGACACTGAATACTTTGTTACACATTGATTGCAAGTTTGAATCAGTTTTTGAATATGTTTTAAACAAAATCGTATCTAAAAAAAAAAATTGCTATTGGAGGAATTCATTGTCCGTATTATGCGCTATAAATTGAATTTCGAGCAATTAAATAACGAAACTTATATATCATTTTATAATCCTACGTTACATCATAAATGCATCATTATAATCGTGTCATAACGTGAAACGTGAAAAAAAAATTCTAATATTTGTGCTGTCGAAGTTGAGTGCAGTATACAATACTGCTAAAACTTTGTGATACAAACGTTTTGTATCCTGTTACGATTCAGTTGATTATCGTGACTAGTTGGAATTGAACATGTCTCTTCTCAGTGAATGCATTGAGTCATTTCAAAATACAACACATACCAAAATTACATTATATTTTTATTTTATTACTTGTACTTTAGTATATTGTGAATTTAGTAACTGTCAGTAACTCTTTTTACGCTACGCTTTTATTTTATTTCGTAGAGTTGCAGCAAACCTCTTAATGCACTCACCAAGCGGAGCTTTTAAATGCGTGAACAATCATGAGTGCAGCATTTTGAGTGGATATAAGAAATGTAAATTTCTATTCGTCTCAAAAGCTCGCACGTCATTCTTCAATACGAGAACTTTTAGTTCCTTTAAACTAGTCATATCATCAATCAAACGACCTTTCTGTTAAAAATTCATGTACTTATCGCGACATGTAATCGCGATATAAAAATATATTTCTTTTAATTCATCCCCAATAAATTGGTATCTGAATACACACTCTCTCTAGCGCGGTATACTATTATTATTTCTATAAGTACTCTTTTTAATCCGCCACACTTCTAATATTCTCTCTTAATTATACCATTTATTTTATCAGCTTGGTCAACACAGACGAATCATTTATAATTGCGATCCCCAAATAATATTCTTGTCATCTAAATTTTTCTCTCTTAAAACTTTAATAGCTGATATCATTAACAATAAATCTAAGTAATCAAGCTTCAAATAAGATAATAAGTTATTCTTGCGTTTCTTGAAACGTTAATTCTCAATATATTTTTTATAAATGTATATGTATAATGAAAATTATATAACATATTATTTATTACATAATCCTTAGATAAAGTTTTTTCGAAATAATTCCTTTTTTTTTAAATAATACATAATTCCAGACTATTGCAATATTAAAATGTTATATTTCACCAGCTATTAAAGATTTAAGGAGAATCTGACAATCTTTACCAGAAATACGTTATTAAATAAATATATCATATGATTTAATATTAAATAAATAATAATGTAATGATCGCGCTAACTGAAACATACTATATGAAACCGATTAATTTGACACGCGTCCAGTTTGACACAAATTACTACTGAATATCCAGTCGTGTACTGGATTCTTATTATTTTATTTATCTCACTATAAATATTATTTTTACGATTAGTGTAACCTAATATATGAATTAAAAGTGATCGTTAGCATCAATCATGTTTGACTCAGGAAACTATTATTTTTCGTAATTAAGCCTGCGCTGCTCTCCGACATGGGTATCACGGCCGACTTTTCGCCTTTCGGTAACTTTGCATGCGATTTTATGTTCGGTTGCAGACCCTTTTGAATATTCTAAAAAAAAGATGGCAGATTATATCCGTGACTCAAAACAGATTAAAATAATTATGGCCCTTATTATCGTATGTACGATAATAGTTCCAGGTAGCGTTCGTATGCATGCAATTTACATGCAAACGTCGTCATATTTACCTCCTTGAACGTTCCTGGCATTATTATTACGTAGTACAACGCGTAAGCTGGTATCCATATTATAGATGAAAGACTCAAGCATACTCCTACCATTTCCGCCCATGTTGGATACTCGTAACTGCTGCCATATTTGAGTGGCTTATATTGCACGATTTGAAATACGAAGATGAACTGGAAGATAAAAAAAAATGCAACTGAGAAAACTTTTGCTATGTTGCGTATAATATATTATACACTTTACATATTCGTAGTTTTTCTTTTCCTTTTTTTTTCTCTCTTTGAAATGTAACAATTAGGGTGCGCGAACCTGTTTTTGGATGCTGTAATTGATGCAAACATATTATTATACTCACGACCATGATCACTGGCGCGAATAGAACCCAGCATATGTACCAGAATTTATTCAAACGAATTCCCATCATCTGATGCACGCAATCGCAGAATTTCTTTGCTCCGAAAATCCACGATATCGCGATCGTTTGGAAGAAACACACCCACAATATGGACATACCACTCGCGGAGTAAAAGTCCATCAGTTGGAAAATATAAATTCCACCCTGTGAAAAATAACATCTGATTTTCTTTTGTTAATTTTTTTACCGCGCGTCTAAAACTTTTTATTATATATTCGATTCCTTGCGTGTCGATTAATTGACACAATTTGTCGAATACTAACGTTCGTGACCATCGGAACTCCCAGAGCGAACATTATCAGACAGATAGCGATAGTGAATTTGATCCTGTGAGGACGTAGTGTATCCGGCCAGTAGTCGACCATACCGGTTATGAAAGATTCCACGATGCAAAATTCACTGTCGATGCCGAGTATCTGCGTGGAGAGACGAAGCAATTCGTATATAATCATCTTACATTTGTGCAAAAAGTTGGAAAAATTCTAATTTTCCCATGCTTAATCTTTGCTCCAAAATCTACGTTTAGATTTACAGCTATTCCGTAATATGCATTTACAATATATTCCATTAAAATTATAATCATTCAGTGATCTGTTAGGAATATGATTTTTACTACTATACGATTTTTTTTCGTCATTAATTAATCTTACAAAAACTAACTACATGAACAATAATATGAACTACATATTAGACTGCAAATTTTTAAAACTTTTAGGAAAAAAATTGAACACAAGCCTGAGTAACATAATTATTACAATATAAATTTGTAAATTGTGAAATGTCTATAAAAAATAAAATATCATAGTGCTATATCAAATTTTAATTTTATTATTTGAGAAAATTTTACGCATAAATTGCTAATGTTATTTTATACTGCTGGAAGTTCAATCTGTTAAAATTTAAATTTAGTGTTAATTTATTTTCTGAAGTAAAAAAATCTTTCTCTAAGAATTTTTCAAACTTCTTTTAATATCATATTTTTTATATTATTTTCTATCAATATTTCACAATTTTCCTTAGCACAAAAATATACAGTTAGACATTAAATTGTGACATGTCGAAAGAATCTTCTTGCTGAGGGCGACAATGCGTGTCCAAACCCTTTTTACAGCGATGTACATCACATAAAATATAGTCGGCGACAGCCTATTCCGTCGTCGGAATAACAATTTCTTACAAGCAGCATCACGAAGAATATAATGGCCCACAACGAAGCACCGGGTAGCTTCAGAACGACCTCGGGATACGTGAGGAACACGAGACCAGGTCCGCTCTTGACAACCTCGGACACCTGCGTTTGCTGTTCCAGGGCGATGTGACCCAGTATCGAAAATGTTACGCAACCGGCCAGAAGACACGTCAGGGTATTGACTACGCAAGTGATTATTGCGTCTCTGCAAGACAAAACTCCCTTTTTGAAAGACTCCAGCAACGACGATACCGTCGTGTGATTAAATAAAATAGAACGCGCGCTACAAAGTCATTATTCAAAGCAATTATCTCGCAACTTAGGCATAAATAAGGCTAACGTGAAATCTGACACGGCTAACATGTAGCGATACACGATGGATTATTCAAATCGGCATGGAGCTGCGAACGATTGCAGCATCGAAAAAATTAATTAAGTTCTACGATTAAATTCTGCCTTGACATTCTTGTTGGCGAAAAATTACTTCTCGAACGAAGCTAAGCAAACGCTGTTACTGAAGCTCGACATCTTGTCGATAATTGCCACATCCGGGAAAGGATCTTACATCGCTTACCTATAACAATTGTGATGGAACTTGTTGTACGAGCCTAGGGCGGGCAGGGCACCGGTACCGATACTGTACGCGAAGAAGATCTGAGTAGCACCGTCTATCCACGGTCCGGGATTGCGCAATTCTTCCCATCGCGGCGTCACGTAGTAAAGCAAACCCTCGTACGAGCCCTCCAACGTCCCCCCTCTTCCCAAAAGAATGAAAAGCACCACGTACGGGAACAAGGCTGAAAACCAGATGATCTTACCGCTCTGATGTAGACCGCGCCGGATGATAGAGTAAACGAGCAACCAGCCGACAATCAGACAGCCTAGCAGCTCCCACTGGATCTTGCCGATAGTTTCGATACCGGACGTGATGCCAAGAACTCGCTGACTGAAAGTGCAATCATTGCAATTGATATATTCACCTTATAAATATTAATATTAACACATTCGAGATAAAAAAAAACACAATAATCAACACGTGTCAATATCTCAACCGTGACTTTACGCAGGTAATACTTGTGATAAAAGAATAAATAATGTAAATATAAATACCAGATTAAATTAAAATTACATTATGCAATTAGTATATATTTAAAAATCGCGGCGATTACTCCTCACGTTTCACTTATCATTCTGCGAAGTAAATCTATAATGAGTTTATATCAAAACTAATAAATTGCGGCGAACGTATAAACATATTCTCTAGAGATTAGTATTGTTGACATCAATATGTTATATAAACGCGTTTGTACACGAGCAAATTTACTTCGACCTGATTTTCAGAAAATCAATATCGCATTTTCTCTTATCATTCTTACGTCCCGCACGAATCCCCCGATACTTCCAAACTTACATCATCGTCATTATAATTCTCGTAAGGGACAGTTCGATGCCTATATGTATACTTTGATTACCTAACTCAAAATTATTAAATCTAGAAAATTCTCTAATTCAAAGAATATATATATATATGTGGTAAAAAAAAAGGAATACAATTAGCTAGCAAACACTTTCTTCGTTTCCTGCAATGTTTATTATAGACATATATGTTCATATTATTTTATTTGTTTATATATAACATTTATTTAGTAATACATTTTACTTACTCCCAGTATTCTTCTACCGGCGTGGTATGATGGCAGGTATTATTTTCGGCAGATATTATTTTTGAACAGTTTATTTGTCCAAGCGTACTTTTGTTATCTTTGGTAGCATCGAAGCAATCATCCGTGTTCCACCAATTTCCTGAAAAAAGAACAGTCTATATAGGATATTCTGTTTATAATATCTCGCATTGCAATACTTTATATAAATATTAATTGAATATAGAAAACACAGATAATACGATATTAATACTTTAAGTATATACTTTAAGATAATACTTTAAGTATCTTTAATCATTTCCATTTTCATTTTTTGAGCGATTCTATCACACGAAATATAAAGATGTAAGATCTGTTATTCTCTAAGTATGTTTTTTTAAAAGATTCTATGGTTTAAAAAAATTTAATACCATAATTTTAATAAGCATTAGGTACTTTTATAAGGGATATGTTATAATACTTACCGCAGCCACTCCAAGGTACTTTTGGTAAATTCACGAATGTGCTTATTAGGTAAAAAAGTGTCCAAGAAATAATTATACAATAATATATGTCGAGGAAGAATACAATAGTCATCGTAGCATATCCCACACCTGAAATACGACGACAATAAATTACGTGATTATTCATCATGAATATATTATAGACATAATCGAGCTACAATCTTAATTTAAAGATATCGGAAAGTAATTTTTTTTACCTTGCAAAAGAGGACACAATTGTCCCACTAGCGACATCCCACCAGCTCCAAGATATTGTCCAATAGCGACTTCTTGAAAAAATATAGGGATTCCGCAAAACAGCATTGCGATACCATAGGTGATCAGGAAAGCACCTACAGCAAAATTTCGAAATAAATAAAAATAATGACTAATTAATTTACTGCAAATAATAAAATTATTACTTTTACATTTAGATAGTTATAGAAAAATAAATAATCTATGTTGTTTATAATCTAAATCAATGTCCTTCTCTATCTTAAAATACATAAGCATAAAAGAAGTTAATTAACGCGGTTGCAATTAAGCTCGGGAAAAGCAAAATTGTGAGCTAAACTATATTTTAGCTCACGCAATTTTTTTCATGTATTAAGGATTACACTACTTCGTAAACTAGAGGGGTAATTATGCATGTCGGATATACTGAAATTCAACGCTGTCTGCGTCCTCGACTGTGGTAAAAAAAAAGGAATACAATTAGCTAGCAAACACTTTCTTCGTTTCCTGCAATGTTTATTATAGACATATATGTTCATATTATTTTATTTGTTTATATATAACATTTATTTAGTAATACATTTTACTTACTCCCAGTATTCTTCTACCGGCGTGGTATGATGGCAGGTATTATTTTCGGCAGATATTATTTTTGAACAGTTTATTTGTCCAAGCGTACTTTTGTTATCTTTGGTAGCATCGAAGCAATCATCCGTGTTCCACCAATTTCCTGAAAAAAGAACAGTCTATATAGGATATTCTGTTTATAATATCTCGCATTGCAATACTTTATATAAATATTAATTGAATATAGAAAACACAGATAATACGATATTAATACTTTAAGTATATACTTTAAGATAATACTTTAAGTATCTTTAATCATTTCCATTTTCATTTTTTGAGCGATTCTATCACACGAAATATAAAGATGTAAGATCTGTTATTCTCTAAGTATGTTTTTTTAAAAGATTCTATGGTTTAAAAAAATTTAATACCATAATTTTAATAAGCATTAGGTACTTTTATAAGGGATATGTTATAATACTTACCGCAGCCACTCCAAGGTACTTTTGGTAAATTCACGAATGTGCTTATTAGGTAAAAAAGTGTCCAAGAAATAATTATACAATAATATATGTCGAGGAAGAATACAATAGTCATCGTAGCATATCCCACACCTGAAATACGACGACAATAAATTACGTGATTATTCATCATGAATATATTATAGACATAATCGAGCTACAATCTTAATTTAAAGATATCGGAAAGTAATTTTTTTTACCTTGCAAAAGAGGACACAATTGTCCCACTAGCGACATCCCACCAGCTCCAAGATATTGTCCAATAGCGACTTCTTGAAAAAATATAGGGATTCCGCAAAACAGCATTGCGATACCATAGGTGATCAGGAAAGCACCTACAGCAAAATTTCGAAATAAATAAAAATAATGACTAATTAATTTACTGCAAATAATAAAATTATTACTTTTACATTTAGATAGTTATAGAAAAATAAATAATCTATGTTGTTTATAATCTAAATCAATGTCCTTCTCTATCTTAAAATACATAAGCATAAAAGAAGTTAATTAACGCGGTTGCAATTAAGCTCGGGAAAAGCAAAATTGTGAGCTAAACTATATTTTAGCTCACGCAATTTTTTTCATGTATTAAGGATTACACTACTTCGTAAACTAGAGGGGTAATTATGCATGTCGGATATACTGAAATTCAACGCTGTCTGCGTCCTCGACTTATGACAGCAAAGCTCTAAGGAAGCTCGCAAATGGGATAATATTTAAGAGTCCCAAGAGTTAAAATAATTTATTAAAGCAATTCATTTTAAATTCTATAAAAGTATTATTTATTCTATTATTGCATAATAAGAGAGAGTATTATATTATATTATATTATACACATATATAACATAT